AGAATGTCACACTATAACAGCAGTAAGGTTACCTGGTGAATGTTGTTCTGAACACACTCTGTCAAGACAAGAATGTCACACTATAACAGCAGTAAGGTTACCTGGTGAATGTTGTTCTGAACACACTCTGTCAAGACAAGAATGTCACACTATTACAGCAGTAAGGTTACCTGGTGAATGTTGTTCTGAACACACTCTGTCAAGACAAGAATGTCACACTATAACAGCAGTAAGGTTACCTGGTGAATGTTGTTCTGAACACACTCTGTCAAGGCAAGAATGTCACACTATTTCAGCAGTAAGGTAACCTGGTGAATGCTGTTCTGAACACACTCTGTCAAGAATGTCACACTATAACAGCAGTAAGGTTATCTGGTGAAACAGCAGTAAGGTTACCTGGTGAATGTTGTTCTGAACACACTCTGTCAAGACAAGAATGTCACACTATTACAGCAGTAAGGTTATCTGGTGAATGTTGTTCTGAACACACTCTGTCAAGGCAAGAATGTCACACTATTACAGCAGTAAGGTAACCTGGTGAATGTTGTTCTGAACACACTCTGTCAAGGCAAGAATGTCAGTAAAAGGTTAACTGGTGACTATTCTGAACACACTCTGTCAGGCAAGAATGTCACACTACCTAAGGTGAATGTTGTTCTGAACACACTCTGTCAAGGCAAGAATGTCACACTATTATAGCAGTAAGGTTACCTGGTGAATGTTGTTCTGAACACACTCTGTCAAGGCAAGAATGTCACACTATTACAGCAGTAAGGTTACCTGGTGAATGTTGTTCTGAACACACTCTGTCAAGGCAAGAATGTCACACTATTACAGCAGTAAGGTTACCTGGTGAATGTTGTTCTGAACACACTCTGTCAAGGCAAGAATGTCACACTATTATAGCAGTATGTAGCGGAAACATTCGATTCAATCTTTGTTGGATTTAAAAAAACTCATCATTTATATAACCTTCTGAAATTGAACCTGCGTGTGTCATAAAACAAGCAGTTTTGGACCTACTCAGTTTGAAAAGTTTAGGCTAAACAGTTTATTATTCATTTGATAAGATTCTTAATACCATTGGCAGTATGGGCAGTATCGAAGTTATAACGGATAATATCCTCCATGGCGAATTGCAATGTATCGACAGAGTGATACATCATAACAAATCCATTTTTATTGACCGTCTCCTCGACTATGAAACACCAAACAGTTACGGTATAAATATGAATCAAAAGAAACATAAATTCTTTGCTCAAAAGATCCGCTCAGAAAGTGGAGGTTGTTGAAAGACCTCCTTCAGAAACAGGAAGCCATAATAAATCTTGCTATACGTATATATGTCTGCATTAAAGCTGTAACGATACATCGAACTATCGATGGATTACAATTGTTGAGTCTATGATAGCAATTAATCGATGGTAGAAACGAAAAACTATCGTTGCATCGATGGTATGCGTGACTTTCGATAGTTTAGTAATTGACTTCCATTGATAAAAGCGCATTGCAAATTACACTATGTTTGGGTGCAAACTTACAGCTTCATTGAGTTTATGTTTTAACTGTTTACTTAATCTGGATTTCAAGTTTCTTGACAGTTATTAAAAGAGACTGAAACTCTTTCAACTTGTTTTTATTTTATATAAACTATACATTCATTTGGGAAATGATTTCAGATGAGACAATTCAAGGAGAAAACCGTATTGCAACAGTTGGTCGCAATAGTTGTTTCCCCCTCAATAGTCACCCCTACTGCACGCAGAGCCGATCTGTGACATGTGGTGTGCCATGTCTCCATCAGCGACTTCTACAGTAGCGTGTGGCATGTGGCAACACTCAGATGCATTCCGCTGCCTCATCACATTAATCCATTAAATGTCAGCAAAATGCCTAACAACTGTTTGCATCACTGTGTCATTATTTGATGGTGATTCATACGAAAATGTCTTCAATGGGCCTTGATTTAAGCCGGCTTTCTTTATGATCTTGGTGGGGGTAGATAAATCAAACTCTCAGTCAGCCTTTGTCTCTAATTTCTGTAAGACGAACCTAGTGGACGCTGCAATACGACTTTACAGAATATGTTTTTAGTACCTGTAGAACAATTGCTACATTCCTCATCTGCCGTCCAGCAAAACTGTCACTTTCTACATAAAATAACCTCTGTATAAAATATTATAATATTATGTATATATACGCACAAAATGTCCTAAATAGTACAGGTGTTCAGTCATAAATATTACTTAGATAAATAAAACAGAATGCCTTTTCTCCAACATGTTTCGTTCTTTCTTGTCAAATCTCCTTTATATCTGCACAAGATCTTTCGCCGTTCAACGGCTCTTCAGGTGTACAATGAAAGCTGAGTGTCGTCATAGGCGACACATAGCGGTAATAGCTATGTCGACATCATGCTTAAGCAGTTAGTGACAATAGCGGGAGACGTAAAACGTAGTCATGGGTGACAGTAAGGTTACGTTTTGACGTCATCGTGTTTTTGACGTCATAGTTAGAAACAATAGTGGTGGACGTGTATGCATTATGGTTTCAGGAAAGTAGAACTTTACAGAGAATGGCTTAACAGTGAGGAACCGGTACTGCCACGCAAATTTCGGATACATAAGATCATAGATGAACCGAAGGAAGAGACCCAAATACGCAAAGAGTTGGCCATCCAAAGATTCCAAACGGAATTAAAACTTATTGAGAAAAGACAACCAAGATATGAATCTAAAATTCGTAAAATGGACGAATGTATGGAATTTGCATTCCAGGAGGAAACTTCAGCTCAGGTTCAGAATTTTCTCGAAAGTTTATGGAAAGAAGACACTGAAAAAAAAGAGGTGAAATCAGTAGAAATATGGAGTGCGAAGGAAACATGGTTCCACTCATATGCGGAGAAATATTGCAAAGAAAATAATTATATAAAAGAAAAAAGAAACAACACTACCCGACCTTCGGTAACAAGGCAAACCAACAAACCTGCAGCTCCAAACCCAAAGCCTGAGTTATGCAAATGTATTGAAGGGTGGCGTGAAGCGACCGATATACCAAGGTCAGTCAGAGGAAAGTGATAAATGCTATAAACGTAAAGAAGAAAACCAGATGGACTTGAATCCAAGGAGACCCAGAAGTGAGGTGAGGTGAGGTGAAATTGGGTTTAACGTCGTGCTTGAGAATATTTCGCTCATATGACGACGTGCATGCGTGTGTATGTGTATGTGCGGCTGCTTGTACTAGCCCAGACTTAAGCTGGTTTTATAGTGCTAGCCCACTGAGATACCATGCCGCAGTGAAGCATGAATACCCCACTCAGACACAGTATACTGACTCCAAGCCGACCAGTCCTTGTTGTACCCATTAATGCCGAGAGCCAGGCAGGGACCAACAAGTACCATATTTTAACGTCTTTTGGTATGACGCGGTCGGGGATCGAACCCACGACCTTCCGCTCTCCGGGCGGACGCTCTAACCACTACACCATGGAGGCGGTCAGACCCAGAAGTTGACGATATAGTAACGATCACCCTAACGCCTATCCACAAAGGGAAAAGGTTGATTTTCATCATCGAGGTGAAGAATCTTATGGGAAGTTGAACCCCCGTTTTGAAGAAAATATACGGCCACAAACCAGAAGCAGGAACCATCCCAACTAAAACTATGAAACCTACCATAATTTAAACTATTACCGCCACCAAAGAAACAGATACAGATAGAGACAGTATCCACATCTCCAGGAAAGCACAAGGATACACGAATTGATCCTAAAATAATCAATCTCTCCAAACGGAAATTAACGAATACGGAAATCAGTTTACTTAAACTGGGTTTACGCCAACACCAAAGCAGAACAAAGAAGAATTGAAAGTAGATATACATCAATTTTGTAACATATGTTATATTTGGGATTACACTTTCTTAGTAAAGTACAAATTCTAGTACTTTTTAGTTGAGCCCCATCCGGGATTCGAACTCACACCCTCAGAGTCAGGCACCTAATCGCCAGCACACAAAGTCAGCCAGCCTAACTCGCTCAGCTACCGCGACTTCCACAAAAAATGGAAGTCGGACAACTGGTAGTCTAGACTGCTGGCTTTGTGTACCCCTCTGATAAGTGTTGATTGGCACGGCTCACACGGCCGAAAGCTATGATCACACAATGCCATTTAGAAAATGGTCAAATGTAACATATGTTATATTGGTAGCCGCTGATGCATCAGGGAGGTTATTGTGTTCGATAACCGTTGGTGCCTCAGGGAGGTACCTGTGTTCGGTAGCCGCTGATGTCTCAGAGAGGTACCTGTGTTCGGTAGCCGCTGATGTCGCAGGGAGGTACCTGTGTTCGGTAGCCGCTGATGTCGCAGGGAGGTACCTGTGTTCGGTAGCCGCTGATGTCTCAGGGAGGTACCTGTGTTCGGTATCCGCTGATATCAGGGAGGTACCTGTGTTCGGTATCCGCTTATGTCTCAGAGAGGTACCTGTGTTCGGTAGCCGCTGCTGCATCAGGGAGGTACCTGTGTTCGGGAGACGCTGATGTATCAGAGAGGTACCTGTGTTCGGAAGCTGCTGATGTCAGAGAGAGGCACCTGTGTTCTGCCTGTCAGGAGGTACCTGTGTTTCGGTAGCCGCTTATGTCACAGGAGGTACCTGTGTTCCACAGCCGCTGATGTCACAGGAGGTGTCAGCCTGTGTCTCAAGAAGAGGAGGCACCCGTGTTCGGCAGGTTACCTGTGTTCGGTAGCCGCTCATGTCTCAGAGAGGCCTGTGTTCGGTAGCCGCTGATGTCACAGGGAGGTACCTGTGTTCGGTAGCCGCTGATGTCTCAGGGAGGTACCTGTGTTCGGTAGCCGCTCATGTCTCAGGGAGGTACCTGTGTTCGGTAGCCGCTGATGTCTCAGAGAGGTACCTGTGTTCGGTAGCCGCTGATGTCTCAGAGAGTTACCTGTGTTCGGTAGCCGCTGATGTCTCAGGGAGGTACCTGTGTTCGGTAGCCGCTGATGTCTCAGAGGAGGTACCTGTGTTCGGTAGCCGCTGATGTCTCAGAGAGGTACCTGTGTTCGGTAGCCGCTGATGTGCACCTGTGTTCAGCCGCTGATGTCTCAGGGAGGTACCTGTGTTCGGTAGCCGCTGATGTCTCAGAGAGGTACCTGGAGAGGCACCTGTGTTCGGTAGCCGCTGATGTCACAGGGAGGTACCTGTGTTCCACAGCCGCTCATGTCACAGGGAGGTACCTGTGTTCGGTAGCCGCTCATGTCTCAGGGAGGTACCTGTGTTTAGTAGCCGCTGATGTATCAGAGAGGTACCTGTGTTTGGTAACTGCTGATGTCAGAGAGAGGTTCCTGTGTCCGGTAGCCGCTGATGTCACAGGGAGGTACCTGTGTTCGGTAGTCGGTGATGTCTCAGGGAGGTACCTGTGTTTAGTAGCCGCTGATGTATCAGAGAGGTACCTGTGTTCGGAAGCTGCTGATGTCGTAGGGAGGTACCTGTGTCCGGTAGCCGCTTATGTCACAGGGAGGTACCTGTGTTCGGTAGCCGGTGATGTCTCAGGGAGGTACCTGTGTTCGGTAACCGCTGATGTATCAGAGAGGTACCTGTGTTTGGTAACTGCTGATGTCAGAGAGAGGTTCCTGTGTCCGGTAGCCGCTGATGTCTCAGGGAGGTACCTGTGTCCGGTAGCCGCTGATGTCAGAGAGAGGTACCTGTGTTCGGTAGCCGCTGATGTCGCAGGGAGGTACCTGTGTTTAGTAGCCGCTGATGTATCAGAGAGGTACCTGTGTTCGGAAGCTGCTGATGTCAGAGAGAGGCACCTGTGTTCGGTAGCCGCTTATGTCACAGGGAGGTACCTGTGTTTAGTAGCCGCTGATGTCTCAGGGAGGTACCTGTTTTCGGTAGCCGCTGAAGTCGCAGGGAGGTACCTGTGTTCGGTAGCCGTTGATGCATCAGGGAGGTACCTGTGTTTAGTAGCCGCTGATGTATCAGAGAGGTACCTGTGTTCGGTATCTGCTGATGTCAGAGAGCGGCACCTGTGCTCGGTAGCCGCTGATGTCACAGGGAGGTACCTGTGTTCGGTAACCGCTGATGTCGCAGGGAGGTACCTGTGTTTAGTAGCCGCTGATGTATCAGAGAGTTACCTGTGTTCGGTAGCCGCTGATGTCTCAGGGAGGTGCCTGTTTTCGGTAGTCACTGATGTCTCAGAGAGTTACCTGTGTTCGGTCTCAGGGAGGTGCCTGTGTTCGGTAGTAGCCGCCGTCATGTCTCAGAGTGGTACCTGTGTTCGGTAGCCGCTGATGTCGCAGGGAGGTACCTGTGTTCGGTAGCCGCTGATGTCTGAGAGGTACCTGTGTTTAGTAGCCGCTGATGTCGCAAGGGGATCTGTGTTCGGTACCTGTGTTCAGGAGGTACCTGCTGATGTATCAGAGAGGTACCTGTGTTCGGTAGCTGCTGATGTCAGAGAGGAGGCGCTGTGCTCGGGAGCCGCTGATGTCTCAGGGAGGTACCTGTGTTCGGTAGCCGCTTATGTCACAGGGAGGTACCTGTGTTTGGAAAGATACTGCCCTGTGTAGACATGACATTCATGTCCTCGTGACCAGGCTCGATATGTCTTCATGCAAGGGTTGACATTTACAGAAATATGGTTCTAATACATAAAAGTCACCGCACATTATCTACAAGAAAAGATCACTTACAATTGGTGTATGCAGTAGATACATAATTGTTAGCTTTGACATTTATTAAACAATCATGAAAGATCAAAGGCTGATTTGCAGAATGTGCCAGCTACTGCCTTTACAAGCCACACGACTGTGTGTCACGTGACCCGTTGCACGAAAGTGATGGATGTGGGATCAAACACCGTGTTCAGTCGGATCTTGGATTAGCTGACTTCAGTGTCACTGTCGGTGACGAATACCATCACAAGGAAGGCACGTGGTGTTCAAAGAATCACGAGGTGATCATACAGCATTGCCCATTAACACAAGACTAAAGTAATAAAGTAAAATTTAAAAATCAGTAAAGAAAATCATTGTGCGATCAATAAAAAAACGGTGTTAGTGTCATGAATTATTCCCAGGTAATATCATGTAATGCTTATCTAAAGAGAAATGGTTGGGCTGTATAGTTGGCACTATGCAAGGTCCTAACGCAGGCATCACGTGAGGTTTTATGAGGTTTATGTCGTTTGATTTTCTTGGGGGACGGGATTGTGTGGTAGAACCATCAATATCCCAAATGTGGATATCTCTAATATCTCAAATGTTGATATCTCTAATATCTCAAATGTTGATATCTCTTATATCTCAAATGTTCATATCTCTAATATCTCAAATGTTGGTGTCTCTAATATCTCAAATGTTGGTGTCTCTAATATCTCAAATGTTGATATCTCTATATCTCAAATGTTGATATCTCTAATATCTCAAATGTTGGTGTCTCTAATATCTCAAATGTTGGCGTCTCTAATATCTCAAATGTTGATATCTCTAATATCTCAAATGTTCATATCTCTAATATCTCAAATGTTCATATCTCTAATATCTCAAATGTTCATATCTCTAATATCTCAAATGTTGGTGTCTCTAATATCTCAAATGTTCATATCTCTAATATCTCAAATGTTCATATCTCTAATAATATCTCAAATGTTGGTGTCTCAATATCTCAAATGTTGGTGTCTCTAATATCTCAAATGTTGGTATCTCTAATATCTCAAATGTTGGTGTCTCTAATATCTCAAATGTTCATATCTCTAATATCTCAAATGTTGATGTCTCTAATATCTCAAATGTTCATATCTCTAATATCTCAAATGTTCATATCTCTAATATCTCAAATGTTGATATCTCTAATATCTCAAATGTTGATATCTCTAATATCTCAAATGTTGATGTCTCTAATATCTCAAATGTTGGTGTCTCTAATATCTCAAATGTTCATATCTCTAATATCTCAAATGTTGGTATCTCTAATATCTCAAATGTTGGTGTCTCTAATATCTCAAATGTTGGTGTCTCTAATATCTCAAATGTTGGTGTCTCTAATATCTCAAATGTTGATATCTCTTATATCTCAAATGTTGATATCTCTAATATCTCAAATGTTGGTGTCTCTAATATCTCAAATGTTGATATCTCTAATATCTCAAATGTTCTCAAATGTTCATGTCTCTAATATCTCAAATGTTGGTGTCTCTAATATCTCAAATGTTCTATATCTCAAATCTCAAATGTTCGTGTCTCTAATATCTCAAATGTTGGTGTCTCTAATATCTCAAATGTTGGTATCCCTAACATTTCAAATGTTGATATCTCTAATATCTTAATGTTGGTATCTCCAATATCTCAAATGTTAGTGTCTCTAACATTTCAAATGTTGATATCTCTAATATCTTAATGTTGATATCTCCAATATCTCAAATCTTAATGTTGATATTTCCAATATCTCAAATCTCGGTGTCTCTAATATATCAAATGTTGTGATCTGTATTATCTCAAATAATTGTATCTCTAATATCTTAAATATTGGTATCTGTAATTTCTCAAACGTCATCTACACAGATGCTTGATTGGCATTTAGAAGGTGGAAGGTAACATAACAACATATGGTATGGATTTACAGTTTTTTAATATTTACAACCCTACGTTTCTGGGCTACTTCTTTCACCCTTCATCAGGTGAATGACAGAATATGTTTACGAGCAAAATATATCGTATGCACAGGAAGCCAGTGACATAGTGTGACAGATTGAGGCCTCCTGTACATACTATATATTTTGCTCGTAATCATGTTCTGCCATTCACCTGATGAAGGAGCGAGAAGAAGCCCAGAAACGTCGTGCTGTAAATATTAAAGAAGTTATAAATCCATAATATATGTTGTTTGTACATGCACTATATTGTTTCACTTGATGAATATATATCAATAATCCCGAAGCTTGTACCTATTACTTTTGGAAATCATTTCACGTGAATACGTGGAGTTCATATATCGATGCTGTAGAAAGGCTTCACAAGCCACCAGACGCTGTAAACGATCGAGATTATCAGGCTTTACCATCGATGTTTAATTGAGAATATCCATCTGACATTTATGTGACAAATATCAAGGTATCACCTTTATTGATTATGTGACAGAAACATCGCGTCTGAAAAAGACATGTATCATATTACAAATGTATGTACCATAAGTGACCTCTAATCTACTAAGTTTATTATCTTACAACTGATGGTAGCTGTTTCGACTTGGAACACACCTGTCTGCATCCGTGGTGTCTATGTGTGTCCCAGAAATACGTATAAGTCAGCATGCATGTACGTTTATTTTTACCTTAAATTACTTGTATTATGTTGCAAATAGTTATTTAATAATACAAATGCATCAATTGGAATACACCCTGTTGTCACGTGCAGACCACAAGATATGTTCCGGGACCCATACGTCTGTTAACATGTACATGGTTCTGTATAGGCCTAGATATAACTGAATAAAAAAACAAGTATCATGACTAATCATTTTGCTAAATACGGTGTCTCAAGTGGACTTCAGGAAAACCGACGGAATGGTACGGCACAAAGAACAAAGTGAGTTATGCAAATGAGATGTTTAACCAATCAGCTTCATGATACAGTTTATATTTATAACCGCAAGTAATTACTATTTTACTCAAGAAAAGTACGAACTCGTTCAATAAAAAGCATAAATGAAGAACTGTTAAAATGGTTTAATTTAGAGATAATAAGCTTTTTTCTCAAGTTTTGCACTTCTTGGTATAAATCTGATATGATCTAGGCAGATATTCACTTATATAATGCTTCACTGTCTCGGGAGTATTTTCATCACAGTGAGTACACACAGGTGAGAGACCTGGAGGCGCAAAGGAATCAGCTGGGTTGCACACTTAAAACACCATGCTAGGCGGCAAGTCTCAGAATACTCAAACCAAAAGCGACCTTGCCATGTGACCAGTGCGTAACACAAATATGGGGGGATGGGGGTGGGGTGTTTAGCTTGTTGGTTAAAGCGTTCGCTCGTCGCGCCAAAGACCCGGGTTCGATTCCCCACATGGGTACAATGCGTGAAGCCCATTTCTGGTGTTTCCCGACGTGACATTGCTGGAATATTGCTAGGAGCGGCGTAAACCTAAACTCACAACTATTTATCATTAGCTGATAATTAGTTGGTTGTTTATTTCAAGTTGAGATACACTCTTCAAAAAAAAAGAAACGAAAAGGTGATTTTGAGAATATTGGACTCATGTAGCTGCGGCAAAAACAATACAAATATATATTTATTTCCAAAACGTCATCTTTGTGTGACTGTAAACAGCCTCAGTGCATAAAACGCAACCATTTTAACTTTTTCCCTTGTTTTAGAAGCGTTTGACGAAATATTCGCCAAAACGTCACCAAGAAATCATGCAAAGCAAATTGCACGTGCAAGTAAGCGGAAAGGCATGCGATATCGATCACTATAAAAAGGCAAACGTTGTGTTTAATTTGTCATTCGTTTTTGCCTGGAAAAGAGGAAATCATCATGCCACGACTGAGTGCCGCCAGTCGAAACATCGCCATAGGCGGCCTTGAAGCTGGGGAGTCGCAGTCTGCAGTTGCCAGACATTTCAACATTCATCACAGCGCCATATCTCGCCTTTGGGATCGTTTCCTGCAGACCAATTCCGCCCAAGATCGCCCGAAAAGAGCGAAATGAGCAACCCGGATGTAGCGGTCCTGGGTAATCCCAAGCCCAGGACCTCCACATCCGGGCTGCTCATTTGCGTCATCGTCTTGCCACATCCGTAGAGACTGCACAACGGCGGATAAATATGTGTTTTGATGGTTGTTTCATAACACTACTGGGTATTTGCTTCTACTTTTACTATAATGATCACAAATTAGCAACACATGCAAGTCGTCTTCTACAACATTTAATTTACAGTATCTGCACACAGTAGGTTTGTTATGAAAATTTCCCCTATAACGCCTTAAACCATAGAAAACTGGACGAAACTAGGATATTGCTATTCTTGCTTTCTTAACATTGATATGGCGTATATATATGGTTCATACACGAAGTTTTCTTTAAAATAAGTAAAAGTACAGGGACTATTTTGGAGTTTAACATGCCACTCTTGCCTGAAGCAATCATTTTTTCTTCTTACAAGTTAATTTAAGAAATGCTGTTTTCCAACTCCCTGTCATATCCACGCATATCCAAGTCCAAATCTAAATAGAACTGTTTTCACATGTGAATCCTAAAATTTACCTATTACGTTCGGCGCTTGCTTTTAAATCTAGATTACGTAACATTCTGTAGGCTTTTGATGGGTAGCGTGTAGAGGCCTTGAGATGAACCTCAGCCAGTAAGCAATACAACGTTTAAGTTGAATGGTTGGTTGGTTGGTTTGTTGCTTAAGGCCGCAGTCAGCAATATTCCAGCTATATGGCAGCACTCTGAAAGTAATCTAGTTTGGACCAGAAAAAATGGTTTCTCAACCATCTGCAAGAACGTA